AATCCCCCGCCAGTTGACTCAATGACAGACCGTATGATACAACGCGCACGTGCTAACAATTCGTCCATCCAACCCCCCCAGGTGTAATCAATCGAAACACCGCGAGGAGAATGGTGAAACGGAACTTTTGTCATTTGGAATTCGCAGAGATAAAGGCGGAAACGTTACAGTTCCCGGGCCTGTCTGTGTTTTTATAAGTATATATTACATCTTTCTCGTGTGCCATGAAATAAAAAAGTCTAAAGATTTATGAAGCTATACTGTCAAGGGATCATTTACGTGCACGCCAATGTGTACACGGGACCTCGGTTTTTCGTACCATCCGAACAACAAGACAGCTGTCCTTGTCAGACCCTCCGTCCTGCATCACTGACAAGGGGAAACCACGCCGGAAAATCTGGATGAACTTTCTCGGCTAATGCAGGGATCGAACACGCGATCTCCAGGCTAGCGAGTCAGCGTCTTACCCACTTAGTCACCGTGGTCTCCTTCTGTAACTAGGATAATGTAGACGGGTACACGCCAATGTGTACACGAGACCTCGGTCTTTCAGACACCACCCGTGCACCTAGAGCAAGATAATTCGCACGGGATCATCCCGAGGAACTTCCACGATCAATACCGAGATATCCTGTACTTTCCTTCACGTTGACACTGTAAGCGGAAATAAAATACTATTAAGAAATCTAATTAGCCTGTAGTATCGGAAGACTTACAAGTATTAATAGCAAGTACGTTTGATTTCAACAACGTCCGTTAGTAAACCAGCATACTCGTCGCCGTGTTTATAGTACCAGGATGGTTTGTAAATAGGGGTGCTGGGAGAGGCAATGTAGATTCTAAGATATGTCTATTTTTTTCGGACATTACATAACTGTGCACAAGGGAGACTACTCTATTAAAGTACGGAAACAGAATTAGAGCATTATGAACACAGCTCGCCAAATATTTCTACGGCGAAAGTTATTTTTAGTCTTTCTCTCCCTTTCCCTTTTCCCCCTTTTGCATGGCGATTTATCGTTGTCTTTTTGGTGTAGAATCGAAGAAAAGGGTTTGAAAATACATTTTCAGCCAGGTTTTGGTGAATATTCATGATTTTGAGGCGGAAGGATACAAAAGTTGAGAGGTTGGTTAGGTTGAAATGTAGGGCCGAAAATTGCATGTTTGCATGTTTATGTGTCTCTACTTCCAGCTTGTGTATCTCAAGTTTTTCATGGCGAACCTCATACATGCTTTTGGGCAAGAGTTTGCCACGTTGCTCCATCTGTGGCAGAAAGCGTTCTACCCAACGAAAATTTTGGAAAAAGTTACAGCCGGTCTAAGAGGTCAGACCAGAATTAACATTAAAGTCAATGGGGAAATCATTAGTGGTCTGTGGCCATATTACACAGACCTCGACAATAAGCCTGTGTTGTTTATTACAAATTTAACGTCCCATACATTATACAAGGTGTCATGGACAATTATTAACGAGTAAAAACAAGTTCTTGTATATTTAATTGGCATGGTGTTATGGGCAGGCTGATTTAATAAAGATATTTACATATGGAGGTTAATATTAAAAAAGGAAAATGGATAAAAACAGGTTCTTGTATACTTTATTGGCATGGTGTTATGGGCGGGCTGATTTAATTAAGATATTTAAATATGTTAAAATCGCTGTCGTGAGAATAGAGGGCGGATCATCTTCTCACTTTGACAGCAAGTTAAAACAGGAGATCCAGCTGATTAATGTTTGGTGTCATCAGTGCGGATAGAGAAAAAAAGAACGTTAAGATAACGAATCCGCTTGATTTTTGTGGGAAGGTGAAGTTCTCACAGTAAAAAACATATAGCTGAACCCGTGTATTATTTACATATTAAACACCCTTGTACACAGGTAGGTTATAGGTAGGTTAATGAAGTAAATATCAACCACTATAAGTGGTACGAGAGAGAGAGAGAGAGAGAGAGAGGGAGGTGGGGTTTAACGTCCACTCGACACAAACTAGGTCATTTCGGGACTAACACATGGTTTAATTTTATTGCAATAACTCGCTTGCGCGTAGGGGTCTTTAGCAGTGGGAGGAAACTGAAGGATCCGTAGAAAACCCACGAGGTTGGACAGGCGACCTTACTCCTTGTCACGTATCGATACCACGCCAGTTGACTCAATGATAGACCATACAGCGCGCACGTGCTAACCACTCGGCCATCCAAGCCCGCTATACGTGCTACTGGCCAGTGACTAAAATGATTAAATTAATAAGAACGCGATAGCAAAACATAACGGTGGCTGTGATTCTCCTAAAACGGCGAATGGCGAACGCCAAAGAAATAGGAATAATGCGAATTGATGATCGGAATTCACTTATTCCCCGCCTATTTTTTTATTCTGCTGTAAAAATTAGAAATACCGGGAAATTCACAACGAAACGAAGAAATGTGATATGCTGCTAATACGATAGGGCGAATATTTTAAATGCCATTTAAAGACATGTCTTCAATTCTACGGTGATGAAATAATAATTATTATTTACAGTTTTTCGACAAAAGTTAGATTTGAAGATACTTTACATATAACGCAATGCAAGTGTTGATATTCTGCATGAAGGTTTTGTGCTCTATCTATATGAATAAAATCAAGCGTGTATGTATGTATATGTATGTATGTATGTATGTATGCTTACCCATCACGCTTTGTCGCCACGCTCCACCCCCGCATATGTGGTATCAAATTAACCAGCATGGCGCCTTGAATGTTTTAGGTCATTATTTATGATGGTCAAGATCATTTATCATTTTAACACGGACAAAAAGAAATGTTGGACTGCCTGAGACAATGTATCCCTATCGTCATTTTGGCGCACACATACACATTGAGATTTTTAAAGAGTGAAATCCAATACGATGACATTGTGATATCAAATATGTCTATATCGGGACTAACATATGGTTCAATTTTATTTTAATAAATCGCTTGCGCGTAGGAGTCTTTAGCAGTGGGAGGAAACCAGGGGACACTGGAGTAAACCCTACTCCTTGTCACGTACAACCGGAGAATCGAATCCCCCGCCAGTTGACTCAATGACAGACCGTATGATACAACGCGCACGTGCTAACAATTCGTCCATCCAACCCCCCAGGTGTAATCAATCGAAACACTGCGAGGAGAATGGTGAAACGGAACTTTTGTCATTTGGAATTCGCAGAGGTAAAGGCGGAAACGTTACAGTTCCCGGGCCTGGATCTGATGGATTACGCTACCTGGAACAATCGCTCAGGTTTATAGCGAGACGCACGAAACAATGTACGGTAAATGAGCTAAAGGATAAAATTAGGACAAAATGGACAGGCGTATGCCTAGAAGAAATACAAAATTCGATTTCTGGTTGCAAAACGGGATCCATATTGTCTAATTGTTTATGTCAACTCGGGTTAGTGTGATTTGACTTTACAGCCCGCAAAAGATAATTTTTAAAACTTATCGAAGCCTAGTCACTACTTTCCATATATAAAAAAATATGCCATACTTTATTGGAAATAACTACCCTATAAACATACTTAATATTGTCATGTACAAGGTGGCTATGATACAATAACAAGGGAAATAACCGCCTTATTGACTATGATCACGCCAATAATTACGTGCGATACCACCATCGGTGGAAGGGGACGTAAAAACACTAATAGAAGATGTCTAATGAATATTTTGAAAGGGGCCTAAATTTCCCTCATGGCCTGGGACTATTACCGGCTTTGCACGAATGAGGGTTCCTTCGTTTGATTTGGCAACTCCGTATGTAAAAGAAATGAAATGGGTTTAATGTCATACTGTTATGCTTCGAGGGGGGGGGGGGCACGGTGGCTAAGCGGGTAAAACGCTGGCTCGCTAGCCTGGGGGTCGGGTGTTCGATACCTGCATTGGCCGAGAAAGTTCATCCAGATTTTCCGACGTGGTTCCCCCTTGTCAGTGGTGCAGGGCGGAGATGCAGGACGGAGGGCCTGACAAGGACAGCTCTCTCGTCGTTCGGATGGGACGAAAACCCGAGGTCCAATGGGGTGCACGTAAAAAATACCTTGACAGTTGAGTAGGCCGTAGTGCCGCTGTCCGGGCAAAATTTCCCTCATAGCACACTGTTCGGATCAACACAGTAGGATGTTAAACCCCATTTTATTTCATTTTCATTTTATTTCGTTCTGCTCCGACTGGTCTAATGAAGACGGGCATACGTCATACAGTGTGCAATGAGAGAAATTGTGCCAGGGCACGCCAATATATACACGGCACCTCGGTTTTTCGTCCCATCCGAACGACTAGATAGCTGTCCTTGCCGGGCCCTCCGTCCTGCACCACTGACAAGGGGAAACCACGTCGGAAAATCCCGATGAGCTTTCTCAGGCAATGCAGGGATCGGGCCAGCGTCTTACCCACTTAGCCACCGTGACTCCTCAAATTTAAGAGAAATGTATATGTATGTATACAAATGAAATGAAATGAAATGGAGTTTAACGTCCTACTGTTCTGCTCCTAACCTGGGCTAATGAAGACAGACGGGCATACGCCATACAGTGTGCTATGAGGGAAATTTTGCCCGGACAGCGGCACTACGGCCTACTCTTATATCGAATTCCAACTGCCAAGGGATCTTTTACGTGCACGCCAATGTGAACACGGGACCTCGGTTTTTCGTCCCATCCGAACGACTAGACAGCTTTCCTTGTCAGGCCCTCCGTCCTGCATCACTGACAAGGGAGAACCACGCCGGAAATCTGGATGAACTTTCTCGGCCAATGCAGGGATCGAACACCCGACCTCCAGGCTAGCGAGCTAGCGTCTTACCCACTTAGCCACGTGATCCCCATGTATGTATACAGCAGTATATATATAAACACGCGACTGTATATATGTATGTATGCATGTATTACAGCAGTATATATTATCTAAACACGATAATATCACAGTTAGTGACGCCCACAGTAAATACTTAGCATGAAGTATTGATTATCTTTCGAGGGGTTTATGATCACGTGACATGAACATCTGTCACATGATATAGGAATATGGATGTTTTTACAAGTACAGTATAAAATAAGGTACGTATTTATATGTATTATTTTATAATATCCAATGTCGGATATAAGTCTGACTTGCTGAAACCTAGGGTCTCGAGATCTAGAGGATCTAACTGGTAAGGTGTATAATAGTTTTGAGACTACCATAAGTTTTTCGTACACGCGATGGAATCGTAAACATTTGTCATCATCCCCGGCTTTGCTAATTTGTGCTTAAAACACACTTTCAACTTGCACTAGTCGACTAGTCGTGAGGCCTGGAAGAAAGGTTCTCGTCAGTGGATCATCTTCGGGCCTCTATCCATTTCAATCAGGGGCTGAAATAATCTTATATTAAACAACGAGTGTATTGTATTAACTTACCATAACCAGAGAGAGAGAGAGAGAGAGAGAGAGAGAAATGGAATGAAATGGGGTTTAACGTCCTACTGTTCTGCTCCGAACGGGGCTAATGAAGACGGGTATACGCCATACAGTTTGCTATGAGGGTAGTTTTGCCCGGACAGCGGCACTACGGCCTACTCTTATATCGAATTCCAACTGTTACGGGACCTCGGTTTTTCGTCCCATCCGAACGACTAGACAGCTTTCCCTGTCATGCCCTTCCCGCCCTGCATCACTGGCAAGGAGGAACCACGCCGGAAAATCTGGATGAACTTCTCGGCCAATGCAGGGATCGAACACACGACCTCCAGGCTAGCGAGCTAGCGTCTTACCCACTTAATCTCCGTGATCCCCTGAGAGAGAGAGAGAGAGAGAGAGGGAGGGAGGGAGAGAGAGAGGGAGGGAGGGAGAGAGAGAGAGAGATATCGAGAGAGAGAGATATCTGTATATTAAGTTAGATATGAGAATGTAGTTTAAATGTCATAGGCCTACATTATCATAATACATGTACTTATATTAATTAGTTTAACATTTATTGATCACATAACTAACTCATATTTTAAGTACGGTTAATTCAGGCGCCAACCCAGCATGTCCGGTCTGAATAGTCTATCCGTTTGCTTACTTCTCTGTTTGGGTGTGCGGGGTAGGGGTATTTTTCGGTGGGTTCGTTTTACCAAAATATCAAAAACGGACAAATGTCAAGCATGATATTTTTGACCGAGGATGAAGGCTTAGATGGAGGGTTTGGATGGCCGGATGGTTAACGGGCGTTGTATCATAAGGTCTGTCATTGGATCAGCTGGCTTGGTTTCGATCCCCCTGTTGTACTTGACAAGGAGTAGGGTCGCCTGTCCAACTTCGTGGGTTTTCTCCGGGTACTCCGGTTTCCTCCCACTGCTAAAGACTCCTACGCGCAACCGAATTATTGAAATAAAATTGAACCATGTATTAGTCCCGAAATGATTTAGTTTGTGTCGAATGGACTCTCTCTCTCTCTCTCCCTCTCTCTCTCTCTCTCTCCCTGTCTCTCTCTCTATCTCCCTGTCTCTCTCTCTCTCTCCCTGTCTCTCTCTCTTTTTAAGCCTGAGAGAGAGAGAGATCGAGAGAGAGGGAGAGAGGGGGAGAGACAGAGAGGGACAGAGAGAGAGGGAGAGAGGGAGAGAGAGAGAGAGAGAGGGAGGGAGAGAGAGAGAGAGGGGGGTCCATTCGACACAAACTGGAAGGAAATAATTTATATTTATAATAAAATCAATTCTGCTCAGTCTACCTGTGCGTGCGACACTACGGCCTACTCTTACATCGAATTCCAACAGTCAAGGGATCTTTTACGTGCATTGGCCCTAGGATTTTTCGTACCATCCGAACGACTGGACAGCTGTCCTTGCCAGGCTCCCCGTCATGCACCACTGCAGCGGCACTATTGCCTACTTATATTGAATTCCATATGCGAAGGGATCTTTTACGTACACGCCAATGTATACACGTTACCTCGGTTTTTCGTCCCATCCGAACGACTAGACAGCTGTCCGTGTCAGACCCTCCGTCCTTCATCACTGACAAGGGGATTCCCGATGAACTTTCTCGGCCAACACCGGGATCGAACCTGCAACCTCCAGGATAGCGAGCCAGCGTCTTACTCACTTACACACGCAACTTATTGGGGACATAGAATGTGACTAAGTCTTTAAGCCCGTGGGTCCATAATTGATTGTCAGAACTTTACACCATAAAATTCTGTACGGATTCTCTTTTCAAAATTATTATATGGGTCCTAAGTAATGCGAATGAATTCCTATCGATCGTGTTGAAGATTGCCTTCCCATGGCATAACACGGACTTCGACATTTTGTTTTAAAGAGAAATTATTTTTCATCAAATTTTGTGTTTTCCTGTTATAAGGACTAGATGTTTTTAAGCGGGGAATCACGGCGACTAAGTGGGTAAGATTTTCCGGCGTGGTTCTCCCTTGTCAGTGATGCAGGACGGAGGGCCTGACAAGGACAGCTGTCTAGTCGTTTGATGGAACGAAAAACCGAGGTCCCGTGTACACATTGGCGTGCACGTAAAAGATCACTTGACAGTTGGAATTCGATATAAGAGTAGGCCATGGTGCCGCTGCCCGGGCAAAATGTCCCCATAGCACACTGTATGGCGTATGCCCGTCTTCATTAACCCAGTTCGGAGCAGAACAGTAGGACGTTAAACCATATTTCATTTCATTTCGTTTTTAAGCGAGTGTTATTGCAACGTCCGTTCCACATGATAAACCACATGATATAGGATATAACTCATAACACTATATACTGTAATATGTATAATATACCTATTTATGAAGTTTTCATCTTATAGTAATATGTTAATGGTTCCCCATGATAACCCACGTGATGGACATAATAATATATAATATAACATGTATAATATATCTATTTATGAAGTTTTCATCTCATGTTAATGGTTCCCTATGATAACTCACGCGATGGACATGATATAATTGTTAGATTTTTATTTTTATGTAAAATTGTTTTGTTTCGTTTTATTTTCTATTGCAGTTTGACATTTTAATATGTCATATGTTCACGTGCATGAATGGATACATAATAACACATTGCTATAATTCATGGTTTCACAACTTTAAATATTTTATACTCAGTAATATTCTCAGCTCCGTTGCAAATCCCCCCTCTCCCGGGGTTGGGGTTGGGGTTATTTAGGGCACATTTAACAACCCTTCTGGAATACTTATTGTCATACAAAATTACCACAACCAACTACAACAGCGACATTTGACATGTAATAGGGCTAAATCTATTTGTTAAAGCCAGCTCAATTTTTGTCAAGGTCGCTGAGATGTAAATAAGGTTAGGGCATGCGATTGTTGGCGAGATTTAGGTTAGGTTTAGGGTAAGCACTGAGGCTAGGTTCAGGGTTAGGGTTAGTATTGGGATTAGCGCTAGCCGTGTTTACATCTCGTGACCTATGACGAACAATTAAGCTGGTCTTATCATTTAGCACTAACCACGCATTCGCGAGGAGAATGAAGCTTTATATAAATGGGGGGGGGGGGCTGAATGGTTAGCACGTGCGCGCTGTACCATAAAGTCTGTCATTGATTCAACTGGCGTGGTTTCGAATCCCCGGTTGTACGTGACAAGGAGTAGGGTCGCCTGTCCAACCTCGTGGGTTTCCTCCGGGTCCTCCGGTTTCCTCCCACTGCTAAAAACCCCTACGCACAAGCGAATTATTGAAATAAAATTAAACCATATGTTAGTCCCGAAATCACCCAGTTTGTGTCGAGTGGACGTTAAACCCCACCTCTCTCTCTCTCTCTCTCTCTCTCTCTCTCTTATATAAATGGTATACTCTGGCTGCTGACATAACAGTCTTTTGCTCTTAAGCCTCGGTCACAACTTCCCGGTATTTGACCCCTGTTGCACGACGGTGAGCTAACCGGGGTCAACTGTGGCGAGACCGTAGTGCAACAAGGGTTGCTGGCCGGGGCCAGCCTGGGTGATACTTGGCGAACCGTGTCGAACCGTAGGTCGGTACTGTAGATGTAAAATGATTAAATATATCAAACCTTGACAATCGTATCACCCATGAGGAAGACTGTTACACTATCGTGAGTTAGACTTAAGAGTATTGTCATCGGGACAAATCGTCCTGATACCGTAGTGGTACTGGGAGGTAGGGCCGTAACTGGCTCAGAGCAACGAGGGTGGGTGGGTGGAGGTCGGGAAGTGTTTTCAGGGGTGCTGTAAAATCGATATCTATTGTTTTTATGGTCGACAGTTTTTACACAGAAGGGGGGGTGGGAACTTATTGCACTGGGGTTTTGCACCCCCCCCCTGCACCCCCTCCCCCAGTTAAGTACCTGCTGTGAGGTACCTGGACCTACCGTGGTAATAACCGCAATAATAACGACACCTGTCGTGGTTACATCTTGTTAAACCTTAGTGGTACCATTGTCAAGTCGTGAACCATACTGCTTTCCCACCAAAACGGATCCCTGGTTTCCCTAATGAGTAAATGAAAGTAGAGCTTGATGTTATATGGACGTACAGTGATTATGTTTATTATCATATTAAATCATGCATTATTTATAACATACCTTATAATTATAATATATTTACTTTGTACATCACGTTTCAGACGATGTTGACAGGACAGTAAATAAACAGTTATATCATCTTAAACAAGAACTACACAAACAAGAATAAACTCAAGCTGGACTCTGTGTCGATTTTATGACGTCCAATTTTACTTTCAGCAGATGTTCGTCATATACGGTGTTCGAGTTATCGCGTGTTGGCAATATCAGATGTTTTGATATTTATTGTTCGCGTTATCAAGTGTTCGTTTCATCAGGTGTTGGTGATGTCAAGTTTGCGTGATACAAGGTGTTCGGGTATACTTTAACAAATCAACAAATTAAAGCTAAATATTCGTGAAATCCGGTGTTCGGGTTATCGCGTGTTCGTGTTATCAGATGCTCGTAACTATAGTTGTTTGTGTTATAGAAGGTGTTCGGGTGTCCTTTAACAAATCAATAGAATAAAGCTAAATATTCTTGAAATCCGGTGTTCGAGTTATCGCGTGTTCGTGTTATCAGATGCTCGTGACATTAGTTGTTTGTGTTATACAAGGTTTTCGGGTGTACTTTAACACATCAATAAAATAAAGCTAAATATTTAGACTATAAACTGCTTATAAACTGCACATGCAATTTGTTTTGGATATCAACAACGTTACAGTGAAGTTTTTATTGGGATATTTGAGCTTAATTCTAATTATCCTTATAAATGAAACCATTCTGATACAAATTAACATATATTTAACTGATTCAGATGATGAAAACCTGTTCTAGTCATGGCAACAAAAACAATATAGTATGATGTGAAGTACTGAAACTAGTCGTGTTCCTAACAAATGCTGTATCATCTATTATTGGTATAGTCAGTTGCTGCATCATCTCTATTTGGTATTGTCAATTGCTGCATCATCTCAAATTGGTATAGTCAATTGCTGCACCATATCTAGTTGGTATAGTCGGTTGCTGCATCATCGCTAATTGGCATGGTCAATCGCTAATTGGCATGGTCAATTGCTGCATCATCTCTAATTGGTACAGTCAATTGCTGCATCATCGCTAATTGGTATAGTCAATTGCTGCATCATCTCTGATTGGTATAGTCAGTTGCTGCATCATCTCTAATTGGTATGGTCAATTGCTGCGTCATCTCTAATTGGTATGGTCAATTGCTACATCATCTCTAATTGGTATAGTCAGTTGCTGCATCATCGCTAATTGGTATGGTCAATTGCTGCATCATCGCTAATTGGTACGGTCAGTCGCAGCATCGACTTTAATTGGTATAGTCAATCGATACATCATCTCTTATTGGTATAATCAATTGCTGCATCATCACTAATTGGTATAGCCAGTTGCTGGATTATCTCTAGTTGGTATAGTCAATCGCTGCATCGTCTCTTATTAGTATAGTCAATTGCTGCATCAGCTCTAATTGGTATTGTCAGTTGCTGCATCAACTTTGATTATTTTGTAATCTAGACGATGGATCGCTTACTAAGAAGGACAGCTAAAACGAAAACATAAAAAAACAACCCTTCCTTTAAATTCGAAAACATTCAAAGGATTTTTCAAAATGGCTTCTACAGCGAAATCTCAGATGGTTGATGAAATGGACGGATCAAAAACTCTTTTAATCCCAAAGAAAAAACATTCTGCCTACGTGTATATCTTAACGTTTTTCGCAGTTTTAGGTGGATTTTTATTCGGATATGATACTGGAATTATATCAGGTTCAATGTTGTTAATACGACCTTATTTTGACTTGGATACTTTTTGGACCCAGTTGATTGTGAGTGCTACAGTTGGATCAGCGGCTGTATCAGCTTTAATAGCTGGATTTATGTCAGATTGTCTGGGTAGAAAGGTTGTTATTATTCTTGGTAGTTTTGTATTCGCTGTTGGAGCTGTTGTAATGGGTGTAGCTGATTCACAAGTTATTCTGTTGGTAGGGAGAATTATAGTTGGTATTGGTGTTGGTAAGTAGAGTTATATTTCCTTGTCTTTCTCGTGACGTCATATTCAGGTTTATTGGAATGGAAATGAAATGTAATGGGGTTAAACGTTCTACTGTTCTGCACCGACTGGGCTTACCAAGACAGACGTATGCCATACTGTGTACCATGAGAGACATTTTGCCTTGACAGTGATACTTTAGAACACCTTTATATCGAATTCTGTATATCAAGGGTTCTTTTACGTGCACTCCAATGTGTACACAGGACCTCGGTTTGTCAACCCATCCGTACAGCATTACGTTGTCCCTTAACAGACCCTCCGCCATACACAACTGACAAATTATTTCAATTTTAAGGGCTGTAAAATAAGTTACACTCACCTACACGCTTGTACGTCACTGACAAACATCTTGTGAGATGTAAAATACATTTAATTTGAATGTCTGGTTTGCCATGTCCGCAAGTATATATGATTTTGTCTGACATGTGTATGGCATTTTTCCGGGTATAGTGTACCATACACGTAGATTTAAAGCGATAATATAACCTGCAAATGTCACCAGACAGACATTTGAAAACTTAAAAGAACTACATGAGTGACACCACGGGGCAACCCCCCCCCCCAAAAAAAAAAACAAAACAAAAAACCCCCCAAAAAACGACTGTGACATATTGATATATCTATAACTGTTATTTATTAAAGGTTTTGCATCTATGACAGTACCAGTATATGTAGCCGAGGCAGCGCCACCTGATATTAGAGGAAGATTAGTTACCTTAAATCAACTGTTTATTACAATAGGTCTTCTGGCAGCCAGTTTAGTAGCTGGGGGATTTAGTAGTTGGGAGGACACTGGATGGAGGTCAGTAAATTTCACATCATTATTTAAACGCTTTACTCATTTTCCATTCACTTTACTCACTTTTCATTCACTTTCCATTCGCTTTACTCACTTTCCATTTGCTTTACTTAATTCACATTCACTTTATTACTTTCCATTTGCTTTACTCGCTTTCCATTTATATTACTTGCTACCCATTCACATTCCCCACTATCAATTCGCTTTACTCACTTTCCATTCACTTTACCTACTCTCGTTCGCTTTACTCACTTTCCAGTCGCTTTACTCACTTTCCATTCACTTAACCCACTTTCCATTGACTTTACTTACTCTCGTTCGCTTTACTTACTTTCCATTCACTTTACCTACTCTCGTTCGCTTTACTCACTTTCCAGTCGCTTTACTCACTTTCCATTCACTTAACCCACTTTCCATTCACTTTACTTACCCTCGTTCGCTTTACTCACGTTCCGTTCGCTTTACTCACGTTCCGTTCGCTTTACTCACGTTCCGTTCGCTTTACTCACTTTCCAGTCGCTTTACTCACTTTCCATTCACTTTACCTACTCTCAATTCGCTTTACTCACTTTCCATTCACTTTACTCATTTTTCATTCACTTTACCTATTCTGGTTAGCTTTACTCACTTTCAATTCGCTTTACTCACTTTCCATTCACTTAACCCACTTTCCATTGACTTTACCTACTCTCGTTCGTTTTACTCACTCTCAATTCGCATTACTCACTTTCCATTCACTTTACCTACTATCGTTCGCTTTACACACTTTCCATTCGCTTTACTCATTTTTCATTCACTTTACCTATTCTGGTTCGCTTTACTCACTTTCCATTCGCTTTACTCACTTTCCATTCACTTTACTTACCCTCGTTCGCTTTACTCACGTTCCGTTCGCTTTACTCACTTTCCGTTCGCTTTATTCACTTTCCATTCACTTTACTTACTTTCCATTCACTTTACTCACTTTCCGTTCGTTTTACTTACTCTCGTCCGCTTTACTCACTTTCCATTCACTTTACTCACTTTCCATTCACTTTACTCACTTTCCATTCACTTTACTTACCCTCGTTCGCTTTACTCACTTTCCGTTCGCTTTACTCACTTTCCGTTCGCTTTACTCACTTTCCGTTCGCTTAACTCACTTTCCGTTCGCTTTACTTACCCTCATTCGCTTTACTCACTTTCCATTCACTTTACTTACTTTCCATTCGCTTTACTCACTTTCCATTCGCTTTACTCACTTTCCATTCGCTTTACTAACTTTCCATTCGCTTTACTCGCTATTCATTTTCATTGCTCACCAGTTACACCAGTAAGTATCCATTTACACCTTTCGCTAATCATCCACGTTACTCAATATCAAATCACTTTACTAAATATCAAGATATGTTGTTTTATAAATATATTTTCTATTTTTACAAGTACTTGTATTACATGTAATATCAGCTGCTAACAGTTATCGATAGTATGTTGTATTTTAAGGTATATATTGCTAATCATTATCAATATCAGTGTTATATTTAAAGGTATATATTAAAGATACATTATGGGAGATTAGATAACGAGTTGGCAGTTCTCACTATAATAATTAAAACCTAGATGACGTAAAGGCAATTTGCTGAAAATGTCATTCAAATTGATCCACTATCAACCGAGAACTAAGCGAATGAAATTTCTGCCTAGCCTCGGTCATCATTACTAAAGTCAGTACGATAAACAGCATAGTCTCGATTATCCATTTAATCGTTTAATCGAGAAGGAAAGTTATACAGTAAATCGGCTCACAGTCCACTTAAGATCGCAGGCTAAAGATGCCATCTATAGTTGTTTATGGTCTGGATAAGTTAATTAATATCTAATTAATAATTTAGATAACATTTCAGGTCTAAAGAAAGACCTGCAAGAGACAGATTTAGCTCTTGCATAATGTATGTTTAATAACAATTATCAATATCCATGTTATATTTTAAGGTATATGTTGGGATTAGGTGGGGTTCCGGCCATCTTTCAATTTTTGGGAATGTTATATCTACCAGAGAGTCCTAGATGGTTGATCGACCAGGAGCTCGAGGCTACAGCACGTGCTAGTCTCGTACAGATCAGAGGTACAGAAGACGTGGATAAGGAATTAGAAGATATTAAAGAGAGTGTTGCTAATGCCAAGAAAGCTTCTTTAGATGGTATGGATGAAATTTGTTTTTTTTACTGTCGTGATGCTGTGGTACCTAAATACAGTGATTTTCCCCTTTGTCCGTTAAACAGGCAAAGGCTAACATACGATAATATTATGCGCGTCTTCCCCTTCGCGGTTTGGGCGTATAGGGCTCAGCTACATAAGTTTTTTTGTAAATCAACACTTTTTATGAAAAAGGTTTCTCGGCCGTTTGCTTTATCCTTTATCGTCAGATTTGGGACAGGATGGGCAATCAAAGCACGAGATAATGATATAGGCATTATGTGATATCACAATTAATGCTTTGCATCCATGAAATTGAATCACAATGTCATTGTATTAATTCATAATAAAAATTGACGTCAAACGAGGTGCTGGATTTCCCTGTTTAAAAAGCTCAATGTGTATGTATACACGCCAAAATGACGATATATACCATGCTGGAGGGTGGCGGGGGGGAGATACATTGTCTAGGGACCATGACACCCCCCCCCCCCCCCCCCCCCGCCTGCAAAAATTCCTGGATGACATGAAAGTATTTGAAATGATTGTAGACATAAGCGACGATTGGGTCGGTTTTGTTTGTTTATAGTTTGTATATTTTTTGTGTTTGATGCAGTTCATATAATATAAACTTTTGTATATTTTGTAGATAACAGATTAGTAATATTTAGAATATTTTTGTTTATTTTGTAGATAACAGATTAGTAATATTTAGAATATTTTTGTTTATTTTGTAGATAGCAGATTAGTAATTATAAGAATCTGGACAACACCACATGTTAGACGAGCCCAGATTGTTGGTGCATTTCTTCAGATCTTTCAACAAGCGTGCGGTATTAATACAATCATGTACGTACTAGAAATAAATCTACTTCACTTTCCAATATAAATGAATTATCTTGTTTTTGTCTGTAAACTCCAATACACTGATGGACAGGTCGTCCTTTATGTATCATGTTGGCCTTTTATTCTAAAGTGTTATAGGGCAATGTTCGTATCCAGTCCAGAGGTTCATATTTACCTGACGGTCATAGTGCCCGTATGGTCATCACATCCCTAATGTTATTCTTCGTCTATCGTCAGTCCGTTCTATTAGAAGAATGTATAAGTACACGAATCGCTAAAATTCTCTTGCTTAATGTGTGTTTAAGTGATTTCGAGCAGTATTCATATCCAGTCCAGAGGTCCATATTTACCTGACGGTCTTAGTGCCTGTATGGTCATCCCATCCCGTCCCTAATGTTATTTTTCAGCTATCATCAGCCATCTTGTTGAAACGTCACAGTGAAATAAACCATAGTGTGTTATTTGATCAGTCCGTTCTATTAGAAGAATGTAGAACTACATGGATCGCTATAATTCACGAACTAATTCTATCTCTTCATCTATTAGGTTGAAGAAAGACCTGCAATAGGCACTTGTATAATGTATGTTTAATGATTAATTTATGAAATATTGTAGCGATGTGAAATATTATATTTCAGATATTACAGTGCTTCTATATTAAAGATGGGCGGTTTCTCAGTTCAACAGTCTATATGGTTGGTGGCTATACCATATAGTATCAACTTTCTAGCTACATTCATAGGATTAGGTCTTGTTGATAGGGTGGGCAGAAGAATCTTACTCTTAGCTAGTTTTATAGGTTTGTATGTTCTTATAGTTACTGCCTATGATCGAGTTATCTGCCCTTAATCCATTTCCAGGTGAAAACTCCCACCCAGATATTAAAAACAACTAATCTTAACCGAGATATTTATTCTTAAGCCCTTGACCTTTTACAATACACAGACAACTGTATTACAAAACAGGATTCAGACCACAATAAATCAACACTAACACCAGGGACCACGATGGTTTGTATGCTGTTATAGTTACTGGGAGGCAGAAAACAATTTTAAACATTTTACCATTTGTAGTTCGTATATATGTAACAATTTCTCTCAATCCCCCTTTCTTCCCATTTTTGTTGATTTCTTGGTCCAGAATCCAAGAAATTAACATTTCCTTGCCATGCTTTGTTGAATATTCATGAACGAGGAATAGGTACAAGTTTTCGTATGCTACTTCAGGTTAGGTATCCCAAAATCGCAATGGTCAACCTCATATAATCTTTGGAGCAACGCCATGGTTACTTGTCGCTCTGTCAGTAGTGAAAAACATTCAGCCCAACAAAAAATTGGAAAAAATGTTTTAGCCGAGCAAAGATACCAGAATTAACATCGAAGTCAATCGTGAATTTAATGGTGGTCTCCTACCATTGCCCATGGTTGAGTTGTCAGTCCCTAATTCCTCTACATCTCGGTTCCGTCAAATGACTGTCCTCCGAATCTCAGATCTTCTAAGGGAACTAGACTCTCGATTACAAATTTTGTCGGATGTTTCCTGCCGGGGGATAAACAAGAGGCCTTAATTCGTAAACTTATCGAACTGTTTATATATTTGTCTATTTTTCAGGTGTATTTATATCATTAGGGATCATGGCAACCGGCTTTCAACTAGCAGCTATAAATTCTCCACCAATACATCTATATGAGAATAACACAGATATAGATACAAGTTGTAATACCACAGATTATAGGTATGAGTTATCTCCCCTTCGTAGACTGTACAACTGTCCAATGTTCAGAGGAGCATCATGGCGTTCGGGGGCCACGGTGACTCAGTGGGTTAGACGTTGGCCCCGTGTTGGACCCCTATGTTGGCCGTGAAAGGTCATAATGATTTTTCGACGTGGTTCGGGTTGGACGAAAAATCGAGACCCCGTGTACACATTGGCGTGCACGTAAAAGATCCCTTGACAGATGGAATTCGATAAAATTTCGATTACAGCACAGTGAATTAGTCTATTTGGTACAGACGAATAAGTCATTCCATGTTATTGTATCAGTATTAAAATAAAACGGCAAAGTATCTCGGTCTAGTAATCCATTTATTTCATATTTTCACTGCCCTACACCTGTATATTTTAACCTTTAAAGATCGGGTTTCATTTATTTTTATAGATCATGTAACGACTGTACAACCAACCTAGACTGTGGCTATTGTTACTCTTCAACAATGGACGGTTCTTGTCTTCCGGTTGATAACGATAACGAGGCTGATTCTATGCTAGGACGATGTAATAATTCAGATACATCCGGATCTAAATATATCTTTACGTATGATTTCTGTCCCAATGATTATGGTTGGATGTTGGTTGCTGGCATGGGATTGTTTGTGACGTCATTCGCACCAGGTAAGTGTTGTATAGTTAGTCGACATTCAGGCCAACTGTCATATGACATTTTAACAACCCCCACATGGCATCACTTTGATTTCATATCGTCCCATCCGAACGACTAGACAGGCCTTCGGTCCTGCACTACTGACAAGGGGAAACCACGTCGGAAAATCCTGATGAACTTTCTTTGGCCAATGCAGGGATCGGGCCAGCGTCTTACCCACTTAGCCACCGTGGCTCCTCAAATTTAAGAGAAATACACTGAAAAATGCTAAACGTGTGTCCGTTCTAATTTGATTTTCACTTTCTGTTTATTTCTTAAATTCAACTTTTTTTAATGAATATTTCAGGATTAGGGCCCATGCCATGGACTGTTAATTCTGAGATTTATCCCTTATGGGCGAGAAGTACTGGGTTTTCTGTCGCCACAGCTGTTAATTGGTCCTTTAACTTGTTGGTGTCCTTTACATTCCTTTCATTGATGCAGCTTATTACTAAATATGGTAGGTATCAAATGGTGGTTTAATTAATGTCATCTAGGGAAATGAAATAGAGTATACGATGTCGTGAACTGGTTTTAAAATGTTCTTTGTATCTAAAATATTTGAATTCCATGTATTGATGGAAAGATAACATCAATATTTATTAAATTTCTAATTCGTGTTTTTAATTTTGAATATTATGGATAATATTGAGTTAGGGGTTTAGCTCCTTTAAGTATTTGTATAGTCGGGAAATGCGGCAGAGAGCAAATATAAAATGTAATGGGAGAAATGTAAAATGTTGACGCCAAAATTCCCCCCCCCCCCAGCATTTTCCAATAGAACATTTATCATTTTACACATTACATTTGACGTTTTACATTTAACTTCGGTCTTTTGATTTGATCATTACATTGTTCTTTTTACATATAATCAATTGAAAAGACATTTTAGTAGGCCTTTTAATATTGGCAGCGATACCCTTCCATAAAGGAACGCATGACAGATGGAATATGATGAAAAGTGGGTGTAAACGGCGCTGCCCGGGCAAAATACCCCCATGACACGACACAGGACTTTAACCCCCCAATTCATTTCATTCAATTTCGGTGCATTATTTTTATTTTTCAGGAACATTTTGGTTATATGGTGGATTCTGTGTCATAGGATTCATATTTACTCTAATATTCGTTCCGGAAACAAAAAATAAAACTTTAGAAGAAATGGAAGACTTATTTAAAACTGACGAGGAAAGAAAACTGGAAAAATCAAAATTAGGAAAAAATAAAATAAACGATAAAAAAGAAACGGGGAACGAAACTGGGTTTTGAATTTGTTTTTTTTCTGAAAGACGTTTGTTGATTGTTTAAATTATTAAATTGTTTTGTTAATGAAAGACTTTGTTATTTATTGTATACGTGGTATTCATCGTCTATTTGTTATCCATTGTCTATTTGTTATTCATTGTCTATTTGTTATTCATTGTCTATTTGTTATTCTTTGCTTATCTGTTATTTATGTGCTATTCATTGTCTATGTTCTATTCATTGTCTATATGCCATTTATTGTCTATGTTTTATTCATTGTTTATCTCTTATCTATGTGTTATTCATTGTCTATGTGTTATTCATGTGTTATTCATTGTCTATGTGTTATTCATGGTCTATTTGTTTTACCCATTGTCTATTTGTTTTATTCTTTGTTTATGTGTTATTCAATGTCTATTTGTTATGCAATGTCTATTTGTTATCCATTGTCTATGTGTTATTCATTGTTTGCTATTCATTGTCTTAGATTTATTCATTGTCTATATGTTATTCTTGGGGAGCCGCAATGGCTCATCGAGTACGAGACTGGTTCGTTAACCAAGCCCTTACCCCGGCGTTGCCCGGCGTTGTTTTTTCGTGTATCTAGTGTTCATCTCTTAACGGGGACAGTAGTGTTACCGCCAACAGTAAGGTTGGGATGAATACTCTATTCTAGACAAAGTTTATCGTCTATAATAATGAATAATTGAGCATACAAAATAAGTAGCACCATGAAATTTCTTGCCATAATACTCTTTATTATCAAGTTTAAATAGCTATCTCTTAGTCTGAATGACGCAAACATCCACCAACCACCACTCAATATTGCAAGATAGAGTTGTCTCCCTTGATCATATGTCAATTTTTAAAGGGATTTGTCACGTGCGGCGGTGACTATTTATAGAGTAATGCCAAATGAAATGGCGTTTAACGTCCTACTTTTCTGCTTCGATCGGGATGAGGAAGACGGGCATACGCCATATAGTGTGCTATGAGGGAAACTGTGGCCCGGACAGCCGTACTACAGCCTACTATTATATCGAATTCCAACTGCCAAAGGACCCTTTACGTGCACGCCAATGTATAAACGCTGTCCATGGTCAGGTCTTCAGGCATCACGAACAAGGTTAACCACGCCGGACAATTCCAGATGAACTTTCCCCACATCGGATCTAACACAGTATCTCCAGGTTAGTGAGCCAACGTCTTACTCACCGAGCCACCGTGGCTCCCAATGGGGTATGAGATAGAGAGAGAGGAAGAGATATCATTGGATTTTAACGTCCACTCGACACAAAGTAGGTCTAACATGGCCCAATTTTCGGTGACAAGGAGTAGGGTCGCCTGTCCAACCTCGTGTGTTTTCTCCGGGTTCTTAGCCCCCCCCCCCGCCCACACTGCTTAAGCCCCCTACGTGCAAGCGAATTGTTGAAATAAAATTGAACCATATGTTAGTCCCGAAATGACCTAGTCTGTGTCGAGTGGACGTTAAACCCCATCTCTCTCTCTCTCTCTCTCTCTCTCTTACATAATGCATGTTTAGTCATTGTGTAGAACTATTATGAACACTGACATAGCACATTAATTACCTCATACAATTTTACTGTTTCTATAAAATATTCAATTTTCAGTTCTTCCTTTTTCCAGATTGGCTACGAATTGAATCCTAGCAGAAAACAAATTTCTTCAGTCAGAAATTTAATAGAATGAAAACAGCAAATGCCATATATATATTAACTTAAATCCCCTCTCTTCCAGTTCTTTTGCTCAGAAAAAAGTCTTCATTGAAAAAGTTCCAAACCGTTTATAAATAATAAATATTAGAATCTAGTATCCTGGTGCTCTATTTCTGTCATTCTGACATTATAAATCTCCATTTCATTTTGTTTCCGTGCGCGGACGGAAGTTGACATGAACAACTGCTCCACCTCTTCTAATGTTTTATCACGTGTTTCCGGTACAAAAATGATAATGAAAATGAAGGCCAAAACGCAAATTCCTGACAATAACCAGAAGGTTCCTGAAACAAAATAAAAGTAGTAAATAATTCAGAAAAAAATAAGGGTATAGCACAAACAAAATAAAAGTAGAAAATAGCACAAACAAAATAAAAGTAGAAAATAGCACAAACAAAATAAAAGTAGAAAATACCCCCCCCCCCCAAAAAAAAAAAAAAAAACAACCCACAACATTTTAACGAGAAGTAGGCGTTGGTTCGATTCCAGTTTTGTGAGCGACAATTCCCCTTAGTTATTCAGTGTAAGTTCCCTTTAAAATGGATGATGTTAAGCCGTTGGGACGGGGCGTAAAACCGAGGTCCTGTGTACACTTGCCAGTAGCTATTCGAAATAAGAATAGGCAGTAGTGCCGCTGCCCGGGCAAACTTTCCTTCATCGCTCACTGTGTGGCATATGCCCGTCTTCATTAGCCAGTCAGAGCATTTCATTTCATTGATATTAACTTTAATGAGGACAGTTGCTTCGTGATTTTCCCTATAACACACTGTATGACGTATGCCCATTTCCTTTCATTTGATGGTCAATTTAATCACAAGGGAAATAACTCTTTTAATCAAAGATTTATAGTAAAGTGAAGATACAATATTTATAGACCACATTCGGACACAAAATTATATAAATATCGACCATTAGGTATAATATTACCATATTTAGACGTATTATCATATTTGGAGATACATTACGTATAACATTACCATGTTTAGAGATATTATCATATTTGGAGATATATTACGTATAATATTACCATATTTAGAGATATTATCATATTTGGAGATATATTACGTATAATATTACCATATTTTCATATATTTTCATATTTGGAGATATATTACGTATAGGTATGATCATATTTGGAGATATATTACGTATAATATTACCATGTTTATAGGAACTATATCATATTTGGAGATATATTACCTATAGGTATTATCATATTTGGAGATATATTACGTATAATATTACCATGTTTAGAGGTATTTTTATCATATTTGGAGATATATTACGTATACTATTACCCTATTTAGAGATATATTACGTAAATTATTACTATGTTTGGAGATATATTAAGAACATTTGTATACTAACCGTATTTGGTGAGAGTTTCCGTCATTGTAATAAAGGTGAAAGACAAGAGAAGGTTACAAGCCCAGTTAGTAGCGGTGGATATGGATATACAAGTACTTCTCGCCCATAGAGGATAAATCTCTGAATTAATTGTCCACGGCATTGGACCCATTCCTGTGGTAAATAATCGTGTTTACTTTCTACATATACAAATATCCCAATAAATAGATTATACAGTCCCGGCCCGGATACTTACCAGTTTCCGGATATGTGGTGGTCCTTTCTACATATTCAAATATCCCAATAAATAGATTATACAGTCCCGGCCCGGATACTTACCAGTTTCCGGATATGGGGTGATGCTTTCGGTACCAAACACCCGCCACCTCAGGCATTCAGTGGATAATATTTTGCCCTTCGACTGCTAAAGACCTTACGCTCAAGCGAATTATTGAGATAAAAATAAAAAAGCACTTCCTGTCAAGTTGAATCGGATTTAAAAAAATCCCAGCAGAGTGTAGTTGAGAGTCTAGTGACCCTCCTCCCCCTTCCCCCCCCCCCTTGCCCCCCCCCCTTGCCCCCCCCCCCCTTGCCCCTCCCCCACTACATTACATGAAGATCTGTATCATATGATTACGCTGAAATCGTTTCATGAAAAAGTAAAGAATGAAAATAAACGATAGTAAGTTCTAATGTTAAATTAAACTAAGAATTTTCTATAAGGTACGAAACTAATCACCTGGTGCGAAACACAATACAAATAAAACCATTCCTAATATAGGCATCCATGTATAGTCAGTAGGACAGAATCCATAATCAAAATGAAACGAATTATTTGGTTGGTTGATATACTGACATCGTCCAATCAAAGACAGTTCTTCTTTGTCTGTATTGACTGGTAAACAGGAACCACGTGACAAGTCGTCGTAACAAAACCCACACGTTTTGTCCGTGATACAAGAATCACAGTCACTGAGAAAGATAGAAACTATTAATTAAAAATAATATATACTTTGAGTCAAAATTAAACTTCCTTTCGAAAAACAAGTACTATGTGCTGGTTAGATCCATTCGATAATGCCAATCCCAACCCCAACCCTAACCATAATGCTTACCCTAACCCTAATGCTTACCCTAACCCTAACCTACAATCTCGCCAACAATCACGTGCCCTGCCCTTATTTATATCTCAGCGACCTTGAGGAAAATTGAGCCGGTTTTAACAAATAGATTTAGCCGGACTAGGAAACGAACATGACGTCATCACAGCCATGTTGAAGTGATGGCGTCATATAAAAAATCCAGGGTACATGTACGTCTATCGGGCAAGTGACACATTGGACCATTTCAAATGACGCATTATACCTCATGATAATAATCATCGCAGGACAGGATCCAGGGGGTGGGGGTCAAACCCCAACCTGCTCAGCTACATCAAAAAAATGTAAATCAACACTTTATGAGAAAGGTGGGGTATGATTGACATTCACAGCGCGAAATAATAACATAGACATATGTGATATCACAATTAATGCTGTGCATCAATGAAATTGAATTACAATGTGATCCTATTATTTCATTATACAAATTGACATCAAACGGGGTGTTGTGTTGGATTTCTCGCTTTGAAAAGATCAATGTGTATGTATGCCTGTGTAATTTAAAGACGAGGATAGCAACATGCGTTGTCAACTGTCAAATTTCCTTAACAGGAACCTGGAAAACCCCCTGTTGCAAAAATTCCTGGGTCCGCTCCTGCATCTAATATAAATAATATATGGTCCCAAAATATCAATCGATTGACCAAATCAAGTCAAATAATGTTAACATTTATTCTTAATATATGCAATCTTTTGAAGTTGGAAAAAAATATATAAATATTACCTATATTTGATATTACAGGAGCCATTATATAAGCCATCAGTGAACACTTCTGTTATGTTTATAGGTGGTGAATTAAAAGCTGCTAGTTGAAAAGCTACAGCTAATACTGCTAGAGATAATCCAAGTCCTATCAAAATAATTAAGATTAGTTAAGTGTTATGATTGTATGTATACATGCATTTCGCTTTTTCTGGCTGATGGTTAGCGCGTGTGCGTTGTATCATAAGGTCTGTCATTGAGTCAACTGGCGTGGTTTCGATTTCGATTCCCGGTATGTATGTGACGTGGCGTAGGCTCGCCTGTCCAGCCTCGTGGATTCTCTCCGGGTCCTCAGCTTTCCTCCCACTGCTAAAGATCCATACGCACAAGCGAATTATTGAAATAAAATTTAACCATGTGTTAGTCTCGAAATGACACAGTTTGTGTCAAATGGACGTTAACCCCCATTTCTCTATATCTGTCTCTCTTTCTGACTGTATCAGTATTTTGCTTGTTAACGAAAATGGGGTCGCGTGATGCAATAAA